TTTTTTCTGGGAAAAAAAAAAAAAAAAAGGAAGTGGGGGATAAACCTGAAAGAGGGAAGCAGAAGAGGGCAAAATAAAAGAGATGTGGTTATGGAAGCAAAGTCAGAGAGCTACTGTGTGGCTCACTTTGGAGACAGACAGACCCATGGGCTGAAGAATCTGGCCATCTCTAAAAGCTGGAAAAGTAAGGAAATATATTCTCTCCTGGCCCTGCCAAAGCATCTGTTCTTGGGCCTGGGATTTAGCTCAGTGGTTGCGTCGCCTGCTGCGCAAGCGCAAGGACCCAAGTTCGATCCCCGGTACCAAAAATAAATAAAAATAAATAAATAAATAAAATCTGTTCTTGCCCAATGATACCCATGCCATTCTGACCTCGGACACCCATATAGTTCTGACCTTCAGAACTGTAAGACCCTGTATTTCTATTTTGTTTCATTTTTGTTTTGCTTTTGAGGAAGGGTCTCACTATGTAGTTTAGGCTGGCCTTGAACTCACTATGTAGCCCAGACTGGCCTTGAACGCTCAGCAATCCTCCTGCTCCAGCCTCCTGAGCACTGAGATTATAGGCATGTGGCACCCTGCCCACATATTTCTGGTTTTTTTGTTTTTGTTTTTGTTTTTGGTACCGGGGATGAACTTGAGTCCTTGCACTTGCACAGCAGGCAGCAAAACCACTGAGCTAAATCCCCTGTCCTGTATTTCTGTTTTTTCAAACTGCTAAGATTGTGGTCATTCGTCACATAGAATAGCAACAACAACAAAAAAGACAGCACCCACCTATGGACATGGCCCAAGCTGCAGGGACACAGCATACACACCGCTATAGTTTGGGTCTGGAATGACTCTGAAAGGCCCATGTGTTAAGGCTTGATGCTACTGGGCATGGGGGAAGCTTTAAGAGCAGACCCCACCGGGAGGTCTCTAGGTTGTTGGAAGCCTGTGGGATAGAAGGATCCTGGCCCCTTTCTCTTCCTGTCTCTCATTCCCTGGCCACAGAGGCATCAGTTTTGCTCCACCTCTTTCTCCACCAGGATTAGCCGCCTCACCACATGCCTCAAAGCAATGGAGCCAAAAGATCACCGACAGACTTTCTACTGATGATCTCAGGTATCTGTTCTAGTGACAGAAAGCTGATTAACAGACTTCTGCAACACAGGTCCCACAGGACAGGTACACTGACCTGCATGTTGACCAGCTGGATGAGCTTGTCGAGGTTCTTGAACCACATGTTGGCGTTCTCATATTGGAAGTCCGAACCCATAGTCATCACTGTGTGGTTGGTGCGGTAGGACTGGCCCTGCAGGATGAAGGAATCCTCAGGCCGGGGTGTCCTGGATCACTCATGGCCATCTGTGTCTGTGTGTATGCGGTCAAGAATTCATGTGGGGATTGCAGAGTGTGGTGCATGCCCTGTAACCCCAGCACTCAGGAGGCTGAGGCAGCAGGATGGCCACGAGTTCAAGGCCAGTCTGAACTACATAATGAGACATAGTCTCAAAAAAAAAACAAAAAAAACAAATGGGGCCATGGCACATCAGAGCACCGGGACACAAATAAAAATAGCCAGTTTTGAGTTTTCTTGGACCCATACACAGATCAAGGCACTGTGTCATGCTGTCACATGCACGGTTTTTGTTTTGTTTAGTTTTTGAACTAAACAAACCTAGGGCCTGCCCACTGAGCTACATTCTCAGCCATTTTTTATTGTTTATTTTGAGACATAGTCTTGCTAATTTTTGATCCTCCCACCTCAGCCTCCTAGAATGCTAGGACTATAGGCATGTACCACCACACCCAGCAAAATGCACACCTCTAATGAAGGACCACCCTAAGTCCGAGAGGGGGCATCATGATGGGGAATGGGACGTATCATTGAGCACACTTTCTCATACCCCTGGGAGGCACCTCCCAGGTTGTGGAAGGGCCTGAAGATTCTGGACATCAAGGTTACCTGGGCAGTGGCCAGCTTCAGAAAGTAGCTGACCAGCTCCTTGGCGTTGTACTCAGGACTGCGGGGGTCGTCTACCACAGGCTGGTCAGCGCACAGTACATCCCAGCAGAGCCCCTCTGGCGGGTTATAATTGTTGGGGAGCACACCTGGAGGCCACACCAAGCTCAGAGGATGCCCAGAGCCCCAGACCTACCCTGAGGTCCAAACCTGCCCTGCCCCAACCAGAATGGTCTTCAGAATTTTCGAGGCCTACCACAAAAGGCAAATGCAGAGCCCTGCTCACAAATGATCAAGAATTTTAAGATAGTGACAGTGGATCATTAAACCACCCCCTCACCAGTGAATAGGTCGGCAGTGGGGGCCCTCAGGCTGGCGCTAGCCCTCCACACCTGCTCCATCTCTCGTCTCTCCTTCCGCACCAGTTTATCTTGATAATCGAGGCGCCCAAAGAAGAAGCCGTCAAAGCCCATCTGGAGGTGAAGCAGAGGGCGCCTCTCAACGTCATGCTCCCCTGCTTGGGAAGTCAGAGCCCATGGTCCTGTGGGACCCAAGTGTCATGTGGTCCATGATGGTACCATAGTGGTCAGGGCACAGGTAGAAAGTAGGGCTGATACCAGGGAGCTCTCCAGTTTATTTCAGAGCTTGGGAATGGTCGGAAGGCACCCAGCAAGAGGAGGGAAGGTGGAAAGCCAGGACTCACCTTCCCCTGCCCAGGTAGGTCAAAGTGGAAAGGAGGCAGCCTGAGGATAGGTGAGCACACATAATACAGCTGGTTTTAAAGCCAGATAGTGGGTAGAGGGGGAGGAAGGGAATTGAAATGTATTTTGTACATGTACCAATCCCCTACAGTAAGTGTAATCATTATGTACTGCAAACATGTACTAATAAAAGTGGATAAATAAATAAGATCAGGAACAAGAGAAAAAATAAACCCAAATAAGGAGCCAGGCGTGGTAGTACACTCCTATAATTCCACCACTCAGGAGGCAGAGGAAGGAGGATTGCTGCAAATTTGAAGACACCCTGGGCTACATGAGTTCAAGGCCAGTATGAACTACAAAGCAGTATGAACTACATACCTGTTTCTAAACAAATAAACAAACCCAAATAAGGGACTGGGGTGCAGCTGAGTGGTAGAGTTCTTGCCTAATATCCACAGACCCTAGGCTCTATCCCCAGCACCAAAAAGGAAGCAAGGGCTGGGCCAGGCATGGTGGTACACACCTTTAATCCCAACACTCAGAGATTGAGACAGGAGGATCTCCTCAAGTTTGAGGCCAGCCTGGACTACACAGTGAGATCAAGGAATGGCCTGAACTACACAACAAGACCCTGTCTCAAAAAAAAAAAAAAAATGAGGAAGCAAGGTAGCCATCTACCTGCAGCCCAGCTGGAGGACTCAAGATTCTAGCAAGGAGCAAGGCAGGAAGGAGCCAGCTGCAGAAGGAGGCTCCTTAGGCCGCAGCCAAAAGGAAGGACTCTCAGAATTCAGCTTTCCCCCAAGGGAAGGACCAGCAGTCCCTGGTCTGGTTCCAGTGAGACTGCAGAGAAGGGGCAGGCCTTGAGTGACCAAGGGAGCAGTCAGTGCAAGCGAAAGGGTGGGTTTGAGAGAGGTCAGGGTAGCACCTGGGCAAACAGCGAGGCCTGTTCCCTGGAGTGGCCAAAGGGGTCGATGTGCCAGGCCACACGGGGGCGCCCATCATTGCCAAATGTGTCCTCCAGAAAGCGAAGCCCAAGTGTCATCTGATCCACAATGGCACCATAGTGGGTAGCTGCCTCATCATTCATCACCCAGCCACCATTGGCAAACTCCAGGCGCCCTGAACAAGGAGAGGCAAAGCAGGTTGTTTGGAGTGGGGCTGAGTAAGAGATGCAGTGGAGGAGAAGGCCTGGCAACTCAAAGCCTGGAAAAAAGAGGGGTTCAGATTTGTCAAAGGGCCTGGTGCAGGGCAGGCTCCCCGGAGGAGCCACTGTAGGTAGAGACTAACAGGATGCACAGTTCTCCAGATTCCAAGCCACTGGGGCCCCAAGTCTGCACACCCTCTCTACATGGCCAGATAAAATCTCCCAAGCCTGTCCGCAGCAACACAAACTGGGCTGGGCTTCCTCTTTTCACTTCCCCAGGACAGGCTCACCCTGGTGCACCAGGTTCCGAACAATTTCCTGTGTTGCATTCGTCTGCTCATGCCACCAACGGGAGAAGAAAGCCATCTCCACATAGATGAAGCGGCGGGTGGGCTCTGCCAACAAGGCTGAGATGACAGAGTCTAGGATGTACTGCACGCCTGCATGTTGGACATCATTCTCAACTGTAGACACAGAGACACAGGCAGTCAGGAGCTAGCGGGAACCCAAGCTATGCACTACCCCCACCCTAAGGTCCAGGGCCTAGAAGGACAGAGGGGAGACACAGAGTGGTAGGTACAATCAGGTGCCAGTCCCCACCCTCTACTCACTCCCATAATAGTACTGGTCCACTGTCTTGAGCCAGCCAACATCATCATGTGTGTGGGCCACCAGGTGCACGTTCAGCATGTCTGGCTGTACTACAGGACATGTCTGTACAGGGACCCAAAAACACACACATTGCTGGTAACCTAACTCCAGTGTCCTGCAGCTGAAGGGCAGGCCTCTAGGTGGGCAGGGAGTAGGAGAAGCACAGGACAATCCTTGACCTTGAAGTGACTCAGAGGGGCACAGAAGCTATGACCTCAGTTATGTGCGGAGCACTCCTTGGCCTCCCAAGCAGGTGACACACATAGCTCTGCTCCCACTGCATGGGGCCCCACCAGGCGGCTCCCATTCCCACTCAGGGGAAATAATCAGAGTAGTAGCTGCCGTCTAGTAAGCATCTGAATATGGCAGACAGCCACTCTGGTGCATGGGGCACTTTTTTTCCCTAGTTTTCAGTTCAGGGCACTAAAGTCAAGAAAAGGTGGTGACTTTCGAAAGGAGACCAGTAGGAGCTGGAGAGCTAGGCTGAACCCCAGGCGAGTGGACTCCATTGCCCAGCTCAGCCGGCTCCTTACCATCTCCCCAGCCCTATGGTCCCACAATTAAATGTACGCAAAGTCCAAGCCTGCGACCCGGTGACACGGAGTGGGGGGTAGGGAATCAGCTGTAGCCTCATCCTCTGAGGCGCCGCCAGTGCCCCCAGTGATTCAGAGCACGCCCTGGGCCACCCTGTCGTTTGTCTGCATATCAGAACCCCCTCACGCCTCCGCCCAGCCTCAGGTCCCCTGCTACCCTAGGGTGCTCCTGCCCGCGGGCGACTCACCTCGTATCCAGCGGCCCGAGCGCCAGGCGTCGCCAGCAACAACAAAAAGAGAAAAGAGACGGACGAGAGCGGTGGGCTCAGGGCGCAGGAGCTCATCCGGCGCCCCATGGAGCCCCAGAGGGGGCCAGGGCCGACCCCTAAAAGTGGCGCGTAGACGCCCATGGCTCAGCTACCACCGCTGCCTCCAGAGAGTTCCTGGGTACTGCTAAGGCGGGGCGGATGCTCCGCCCCTAGAATATGGCCTGGCCAATCGGCGCTGGAGGGGCGGGGCTGGAGGGCCAGGCTCGTGACCGGGTTTAAACTGTTGCCGGGGCACCACTGTGGTTCTTGGAGTTTAGGAACAGGATAGTTGTCCGCCCTTGGCGGGAGGCACCTTTAACATATATCCATGGTGCTTTGGAGTGCTTTTGGCCGAGTGGGAAGAAAGGAGTCAACTTTTTCTACAGACACTATGTCTTCCTAGGAGATGAAACATGTGGAATGGGGGGGGGGGCCTAAGGTGTCCCGTGGAGCTTCAGAACTGGGGTCCTGGAGGCACCTAACCAGGCTAAAAGTAGGGATCCTATTCTGTCCTGCGGGAGCTGGGACACTGGGCACACAAACTGCCCTTGGGAGCCGGACGTGGTGGTGCACACCTGTAATCCCAGCACCTGGGAGGCAAAGGCTGGAAGATTGCAGCGAGTTCAAGGCCAGCCTGGGCTACATAGCAAATTCAAACCAAGTCTTAATTACATAGTGAGACCCTCCCACAAAAAACAAACAAACGAACAAACAAGCAAAAACTGCCCCTGGAATGCCAGGGATGAGAGGCACCCAGCCTGGCTGGGATGAACCCCTGGATCTTCCAGTACGGAGGGAGAGCCTGATAGGTGGGTAAGACTGAGTCTTTCACACCCTTCCAATTCCTACCAGTCCATTCAGTTTGCAGACATCATGTCTCTAATAAGAAAATCAAGCCTGGTGTGGTAACACCTGAAATCCCAGAAGCAGGAGAATCAAGTTTGAGCCCCGTCTAGGAAAGTTAGCAGCTTATCAAGACCCTGTCTCAAAATAAGAAATATAAAAAAGGGCTAGGAATGTACCTCACTGAGAAGACTCAGATGAATCCCCAGTACCGACAAAAAAAAAAAACAATCCAAAGCCCAGACTCCTTAGGTCCGCAGGGCCACCTGCTGACTTACTGGAGGGCAGAAATCACTGTCCTGTTAAAGACTTAAAGGAAAGCAAGTTTTTTTCAGTCTTGAGTGGCCCGCCCCCCCATCACTGTTCTCCCCCCTGTAGCTGTTAACTCCTTGTTCTGGTACAGATAAAATGGGCAAGTATGTCCTGTAAACAAAGTTTATGTCATCTTGTTCTCACAAGATTCATAAGGCTGGGCTGGTGATTTAGCTCAGCGGATCTGTCACCTGCCTTGCAAGTGCAAGGTCCCGAGTTTGATCCCCAGTACAAAAAAAAAAAAATCATAAGGCTATGTATTCCTTCAACGCTAAGTTGTTAATTGCTTTTAATTGCTTTGTCTTGCTTCGGTAACCTTGCTGCCCCTCCCCCCAGTCTCTCATCACTAGAAAGACCACCCCCCTTCGACCAAATGTATAAAAACTGGAGCCTTGGGCCAGGGATTTAGCTCAGTGGTTTGGCCGCCTGCCTCACAAGCTCAAAGACCCGAGTTCAATCCCCAGTACCAAAAAAATAAAAAAATAAAAAATAAATAAAAACTGGAGCCTAGGAGCAGGGGATTTAGCTCAGTGGTGCCATTCTTGCCTCACAAGCACAAAGTCCTAGGTTCAATCCTCGGTACTGAAGGCAAAAAAACAAACTGGGTCCTTTCCTTTGTTCTGGGCTCAACCTTTGGACAGGAGTCCCTTGGGCTGGTGTTCACCTAAAATAAACATCCTCCTGTATCACTCATTGGTCTTTTCTGTCTCTTAAAATCCTGAAACACTCTCCCTGACACCTAACCTAAGGCACGAGGCTTGTGAAATAAGGAAGTGAATCCCCAGAACATTCCAGATAGTGCCCCTACCATATGATCAGAGTGGCTGGAGCCCTTCCCCACCAGGCAGAGCATCCCATGAACAGAACACAGCAGTCACAGGGGAAGCCAGAAGGAAAAATTTTATTATCAACTGGTTTCCACAAGAAAACAAGTGGATAAACCTAGACACATGACCAGCATCTCCCCCAGCAGCAGGCAGGGTAGGAAGGCCTAAGGTTTTCTGTCTATGCTCCAGCAGAAGTGGGACCCCAGTGAAAGGGCCCTGTTCCTTCCATCAGCTGGGGGCCCTGAGGTCCCCATGGCCCTGAGACCATTCAGGCAAGTCCAGCCCTGAAGCTGAGGGTGGGAGGTTGAGCAGCCAAAGGCCAGGCCAGGAAGGAGGTGGACAAAGGGGCTCAGGATCCACACCTCCAGGCTGACATCACCAGGGGGGCGTCATGGGCTGTGGATTCTGCAGATAGGACATCACCACAGCGGAGATGGACAGCCTGAGACAGGAGAGAGGTGTCAGTGCCAGACAAAGGTATAGCCCCCTCCCTTTCCAACTCCTCCTTCTCTAAGCCAAGCCTCACATGAAGCTACTCATCATCTGCTTGGTGTCCTCCGAGCTCCTGGAGTTGGCAAAGCTGATGAAGGAGCAGTAGACAGCGACCCAAGCACACCACTTCAGCTGAGTAAACATGGATGAATGGATGAGGCCAGTGAGGCATGACAAGGAGCCCCTGAAAGCCACACTCCCAGGCACTAAATCCTGCCCAATGATTCTCCTTGCACACCTCAGACCTGCCCAAAGGTGCCCCCTAGTGCTACCCCTTCATAGCCTGCTCCTGGTACCCGATTTCTGGTCCTAGTGACTAACTTCCATCTCTCAGACCCCATTATGGCCCCTGAGGCTAAAGACCAGCTTTAGAAATTTCCATATGGTGCCAGGTGTGGTGGCGCAAGGCTGTCAACCCAGCTTTGGGGAGGCTGAGGCAGGAGGGTCGCCATGAGTTAGAGACCAGCTTGGGCTACATAAAATGTGCGTTCAATGCCAGCCTGAACTACAGTGAGACCCTATAAGCAAAAAAAAAAACAACCAAGAAAAAGAAATTCCCACACGCTAAGGACCCAGCGCTTTTTCTACTAGTCCCCTCCAAGTTGCTTCACAGCCTGGATTCCAGCTCAGACTGACTCCTCAGGGACCGACCGCCCTGGACCCCAGCTCCTCCCACCTTAAGGTTTTCTCCGCCAAAGTAACCCCGTCCCGCCCCGCCGCCAACACCAGCGGGTCCCTCCTCGGTTCGGCCCCATTCCCAGGAGGAGCTACACCCACGGTCACTCAGCCCCGCCTACCTTAAGCATGAGCCCGCACATGCTGAAGATCATTCCCAGCAGGTTCATGTAGTCCGGCGTCGGGTCATCCAAGGCCGGGTTACACTCGCTTGGCGGGGGCTTGTACCTATGACAGGCTCAAGGGTCAGGGACGATCGAGCCTCGCCCCCGTGATAGACAAGCGCTTCCCTAGGCCTAACCCACACCCACAAACCGAGTCCTGTTGCCTTGCCGCTGGGATCCTCACCTCAGCACTTTGTTGGGCCTGCGAGGGTCCGACATATTGTTCGTGGACATAGCGAGTCGAAAACCGGGTCGCGCTTTTCCGCTGGGGGAACAGCAGCTTCCGTTGTGGGCATGGAGGGTAACTTTCAGAGTAACACCTGCTGCCCTCACACTTCCGTTCCTAAAGACGAAGGCCAAAACTAACCCCACCCAGACAATGAGAAGAAGCAAAAAAACGAAAATCTCAAAAATAGGGAGTGAGGGGAAAAAACTGAAAAAGGTTTTTCGATTTTCCCAACGCTGTCATCAAAATGCTAAAATTTTGAACCCGACACGAGAAGACGGAAATAGATCGTAGGGGACAATAATAAGATTACGCCCAAGCGTGGTTTTGGAAGGCTCCAAAGCCTCTGTGCAGACGGATTCACGGAAAGCGGCGAGGAGCAGGACCGGGAGCCATGGCTTTCCCCGAGCCAAAGCCTCGGGCACCTGAGCTGCCGCAGAAACTGCTGAAGACGCTGGACTGCGGGCAAGGGGCTGTGCGCGCCGTGCGGTTTAATGGTGAGCGCCCATGTCTTCATCCTCGACCCTCCCAGTCCCGAGGCCGGCTGTCCGGTAACCCCCGCCCGGTGTCTCCCAGTGGACGGCAACTATTGCCTGACATGTGGCAGCGACAAGACGCTGAAGCTGTGGAACCCACTGCGGGGGACGCTGCTCCGCACTTACAGCGGCCACGGCTACGAGGTTCTGGACGCAGCCGGGTGAGCCGGGATCCGGGCCAGCCAGGGGGCGCTGAGGCCAGGATCAGAGGCCGACATTGATCTTCTGCCCCCTGCCCTCCAGCTCCTTTGACAACAGCAGTCTCTGCTCGGGCGGCGGGGACAAGGCTGTGGTACTGTGGGATGTGGCATCTGGGCAGGTCGTGCGCAAATTCCGGGGCCACGCCGGGGTAAGTGTGGGCCAGGGGACTTCACTGCGGAGCGCATGGTGGGGACCTGTGGGAGCACACTGGTGGCACCAGGAACGTCCGCCGTCCCCCTTTCCTGCCCTCTGGAGTGGACAGAAGCAGCAGCAAAGCCCTGTCCTTGAAGTTCCCCCAGATCTTTTGCTCTCTCCTAATCGGACCAAGTGTCCAGCACTGCGAATCCTGCATGTATCCCAATCCCAAAAAATCCAGCCTCTGAGTGGCAATTCTTGTTTCTCAGAAAGTGAACACAGTGCAGTTTAATGAAGAGGCCACAGTCATCCTGTCTGGTGAGTTTGGGGCCTGGGTAGGAGATCCCAGGGTGCTGCCCTAGGGACCCAAACCTCACCTACATGCTGGCCGCACAGGCTCTATTGACTCCAGCATCCGATGCTGGGACTGCCGCTCTCGGAGGCCTGAGCCAGTGCAGACATTGGATGAAGCCAGGGATGGAGTGTCTAGCGTGAAGGTGTCTGACCATGAGGTTCTTTCAGGGTAAGTGGAACCCAGACCTTGTCCCTAGCTACTGGATATTGCAGCTACCCCTGAACTTAGATTAGAAATCTACTCTCTAGGCTCTTGATGTAGCCCAATGATATAGCACCTGCCTAGGATGTACAAGGCCCTGTGTTCTGTCCCCAGCACTACTCAAAAGAAAGAAAAAATTCCAGGCATGGTAGAACATGCCTGTAATCCCAGGACTCTGGGGGGCTGAGGC